AAATATAGAACTGAATAAAGGTTTAAATTTTTCCTCTAGAAACATCACTAAAATTAATAATAAAGAATGTTGAAATTGGAGTTAGTTATTCTATCAATCGAATGGCTCATATGTGCCTAGAGTTACCTTCTACAACTTTATTTATTTGATATTTTTTTCTAATATTCTCCGCTTTCCAACGATATATTATAAGTATACCTTCTGACTATTATATACGGAGATTCATTTTCGACCGGGATAATCATTTTTATTTTTTTCTCCGGTTTCCAATTATCATATTCTTTCAAACTTTATATTTAGCTATTTTTTATAGTTACTTTCAATAAAAGAGAGTTAATTTTTTTTATAAACCATATTAAATGTACTTTAGAAGAAAACGTATATGAACTTTAGGCATGTAAGCCCTGTAAAGTGACATCAACGGTATTAAATACTACTTAATTTTACAATGATACACCGAGTATTGGCTGTTTTTGAGAAAAATGTATTTTAACATTGATATAAATTGGCACTTCTGGTTAGCCGATTTTGACGAAAAAGTTACTGTAACATCTGAGGTTTATAAAAACCTTAAATATGCTATTTCACTTTTATACGGCTTTTCGATTTTGAGCTAGACTGTCCACATACATACACACACAGAGACAATTTTGCGAGATTTGGTTATTTGAACTCAGGATACCCCAAAACATTTCCGTTGAAAACGAACATTTTCATGATCGCAATACTGTACCTTACTATAAATTTCATGTATAGGTAAGTGAAGGTAAAAATAACAGCAAAACAGAGGAGTTCTCACTTCCAGCTGCATTTTAGTCACTTTCTTGTATTACTGGATATGTTATATGTTAATATATCTTTTAGTTACCTATTATTATTTCATTGTTTATTTTATTGCGTATATTTATTATAGTACCACACTTTTTTGGGAAATACAATATATTTTGGTTCGTCCTATGTGAATTAAATGTATTGCTCTTTTTCTCTATATTTCTGTTTCGAACAAAAGCCATTTTGATTCGGAAAAGCTGAGATGCTAATGGTAATATACGTTCTCAGGTAGATTGCTATAACTAAAATAAATAAATTTAAAAGTAAATGAAGCCATGAATTATTGATGAGGTTTAATATTGATTAAATGTAATTTATTTAATTATTCTTTTTTCAGATGTATACATTTGTATGTAATTGTCTATCGTTTGCTATCATTTTCAATATCTTTATGAAAAAATGTTTGTATAGTCTACGGTTGATTTATTTTAAGTTGTAAATAAACTATTAATAAGTAACAAAAATTTTACATTATATTTTTAAGTTTCTTGCATTACATTTAAAAAAAATCTTAATTTTTTACAGGGAGGAAGAAGGAAGGGGCGGAGCTAAACTGTTTGCCCAGGTAAGAATGATCAATAAAACATTTTTGCGTGGATTTCGTTCGTGCGTGTTTCAACTATAACATGTGTATCATTAAAACTACTAACTCAACACAAAGAGCCATATACTAGTTTTACTATGTAAAATAGCTATGGAAGCAATCAAACCTCGTAAGTCCAGAATCCGACTCGTTCCATAACTAATGCTATTTAAATCCTTTAAAAATATGATTCGTTAATTCACCAAAGTAAGATGAAAATATCACTTTGAAAACATAAATTTATGATATTATATATTAAAAAAAAGTTTTAATGTTTTAGTGGATTGCATATTTTATTATTCAATTACAAAATTTCTAGGGAACTCATAGCGAAAATGCATTTTTTTAAATTTCGATTCGTTAATACTTGATGCATAAGTAGGTTATGTGTTGAAATTTTTCATTCGCAATGACCAATTATATAATCGATTGAAATAATTAATAATATAACTATATAATAATTATGACAAAGGAGAAGAGAATACTTTAATAACCCGTCGTGAAACAATGATGTAAATTGGATTTTTTTTTATTGCTAACAATTGATTTTACATTATTTATCATATTATTGTATTGTAAAGTTTAGTGAAACTATATAAAACAAAGGTTTTTCTGTACGTATAATTTTTGCAAATGAAAGACATGAAAATTGGTGTAAAATGGCTGATAATAAATAAACTTGAAAAGAAAGACATAAAGTTTTTATTGAAAAATAAAACAATCAGCTACTGTCATGCCCAATATGTATTAGATCTGTGATTTTCTATTTATAAAATGAACACAGAATAAAATAAAATTACTAAAATTTTACATAACAATGAAAAGAAAAAAAAAAGCGTATATATAAAAGATAATGATAAAGCTATGGTAAAATTATATGTGTGCATATCAGATGAAAGTAATATTTAAGTCAAAATGAAAAACTCCTTCAAAAAAATTTAAAAAAAAATTATAGCGCTCTTGCTCAAACTCCACCGGCTGTAGCACCAGTGAGGCGAGAGAGTAGCGCAGGGATTTGGGTTCCCCGCCTGATTGTATATATTGTATATAAGTATGACTGTTTTTAATTTACTTATGTTTATGTTATTTTTTTTTTTATTGTATATAGTTTTTATTTATTATTATTTAGTTATTATTTTACTTTTGTTAATTTAATTTTTTTTTGTATATACGGTTTAAATGTGTTCATTTATCAATATAATTATTGTCTCCGTGACAGAATACTAAATGTATAAATAAATAAATAAAAAAAAAATTTAATTCCGAAAAAAATACATATACTGAATAATTACTAGTGGTCAATCAGCTTATATCTTACTCTATTTGGTAATTTATTTTGTCGATTTAAAATTCAAAATAAAATACATTTATTTTATTTTAGTATCTTATAAATAAAATAAAAATACTTGTTTAAATATATTTTTTATTTTAAAAGGAAAATACAGTCATAAACAATTTATTCTATCTTTTACTTCTTCCAATGCAAAATGCATTTTAAAATATTTTATTTGAAATACTTCACAGGTCTGCCGTGTCAGTGGTATTGAGTGGCGAGGCTAGGCCATTCCCAAAATTCCAATAGATTTTCACTACCATTTTAAACTTGGAGATGGTGGCATATAGGAATGGTCGTATATAGATAGGACTTAGGCTAAAGTATTAGGACGATGAATAATGTTTAGGTGGAAGTTTTAAAGGAATTCGGGTGACAAGAACGTACAGGACGTTGAGGTCATGAAACGAAGTCTTGTTTGTGATATGATACTAATTATTGTTTGAAGGACGTTGGACTGAAATAATTGGATAAATTTGATGTCAGAAAATTATTCTGTCTTTTACAGTTTTTGGAATGAAATATAAAGATAACCTTGTTTTTTTTTTTTTTGTTTTTTTAAATCTTCGAAAGGTTAGAAAAAAACATAATCTTTCAATTATGATAAAGTAATGTGGCAACTTTTTAGTCTGCTTAGTTTTTTGAACTATTTAGTGACTGGGCCAAAAATACTGTATCGTGACCCAATTCTCCTGATCTAATTTAAAAGCCACTTCAACTGGTATCTACAATAAGGAAAAATAACTACTCATTTATTTAAAAGGTAATAATATTTCATTTAAATCATACACAACTGAATACATCCTAAAATCCTTACATGTTTTTCGAAAATATATAATATTATAATTATTCCTCTAAATTTTGAATATTTATTTTCATTTCCTGTTGATAATACTTTCAAATATTTTTAGTTATTCAAGTTAGTAGTTCAAATATTTTTATTAGTTACTTTAAATATTGAAAGTTTCTTAGGAAATAAGTTACTAAGTAAGGGCTAAAATAACTTTTTTTTATTTAAGCTAATTCATTGCAATTCTATTTATTACGTATGTAAGAGTATATTCATCAATATACTCATTTATCATACCGTTTATGAATATACAAACATATTAATCAAAAAATCATTAATTAATACAGTCATGGTTTATGGTCATGGTAATGAATGGTTTATATAGATTTGTTAAATCAGTATATGGGTGAAGATCATGTAAGGTATGGGAAAAAAATCTTTGGAGAAAGCAAGATCAGTAAATAATAGTGTTGACCAAATGCGAGACCAAGTCCAGTCTTGGTCTTGCGCACTCAGTCCTGGTCTTGATGTTGGTCTTGCGCAAGAGTCTTGCAGTTACATATTAGCCTATTACTATAGAGATATTACTTCAATTTTTCAGGTAGGGGAAATCTAACTAAGCCCTAATGAAAAATCGGAAGAGTTAAATGCAAAAGTATATTCGGTTATACCAATTCTTTACACACAGTAACTAAAATTGTCAGGTAACTATTTTGCCTTAATTTTTAATCACAAAAACGATTTTTTTTCACCTGTCTTGGTCTTGGTCTTGCAAAGTGTAAGACCAAGACCGATTTTGGGCAACACTAGTAAATAACTTAAATAAAGCACAGGAGTATTGACACATGAAAAGAATGTTTAAAAACCATCGGATCACTTTTAAGAATATAGCTACAATAATAGTGGTAAGAAGAGCTTTACAACGATTCAAATCGTATTCTCTGGTTGAGGATTGGAAATATAAAAATAAATTGAAATATTTGTAGGTTTTCATAATTATTCCCCCAAACAATTTTATTTATTTTCAGCATCTCTATTTTTTTCGTATAATATTTTTCTTAGTCCTGAATAAACCTATAATTTAGGCCGAAACTTGAATTATTGGCCAAACTCGTTGAGGCGTAGGTCCTATATTTACTGGTTCTGAACGTTGAGGGTTCGACACTCTCTCATACTGCTAAGTACGCCGCGGTAACCTCAAGTGATAAGTAGTTGGCAAAGAGGACAAGACCAACATGCCGGACTTTGCCCGTGATTAACAACATTCAAATGTATCTCTGTTATCTATGTTCTTATTTAAAAAACTAGTTTTACATGTTTATTCTATTTTTTTTTTTTTTTTTAGATTCGGGTCAGATTTATTTGAAAAACCACTCAAATAATTTAACTTAATATCTGGTTTGTTGTATATTAATTAGGATTATCTGATATCAAGATAGTTAGCAGTCCAGTTGTCATAATGTCTATTATTATAGAATTAATCACCTGGTTAAGAAATAAATAGATCAGATAATTCGGTCATTATTAAGTTTTTACTTGATAGCTTAAGCTACGAACCAAGTTCAAGGAATTAGCTGATGAGGAAATTGAAGATACCAATCTACACAAAGATTGAAGGTGAAGATTTTTTGATTTTTTTATGATTCCTGGACTATATCCTACGGTATTTGTAGGTATTTTTCAAGTTAAAACAATGAAAATTTAAGTGCGACGAGATATAAATATTTTTAAAATATTTTTGGACACCTTTTCCAGTCTTTCTTTTTTTTACATTCCCAATAGCCTCCTATGTAAACGTATGTTTCATCACCAACATCTTCAACTGTTTGTTTTCTGAACCACAAAGGATCGGGCTCCTTATCTTGGGCCTTCAACCTTGCCCTTTGCTTATCTTCAAGTTCACATTTAACAGAATTTGCTTCTTGCCAATTTCCGTTCTCAAAACTTCGTACGTCGGGTCGAAATCTGGAATCAGTCGGTGCTACTCCTGGTTCGGGCTCGTTCAATTCTGTGGCGAACTGACCAAAATAGTACTGGAGGTGGCTGTCCTCCCGAGGTGCACTTTTCTCCCAAACTACAGTCGCGGTCGTGTTTTCATCTTCAATTAAAGCGACCTCGTCTGTTGCATCGGTCACTGGAGCCACCTTCATTATTTTGTCCCATTCTCCTGCTACGATCCATTTCTTCTCTCCAGCTTCATTTAAAACAAATCCGGTAACTTTCCTCTTAGCTTCTTTAGAACTGCTTGTGGCATAAGTCAATGTGCACTTATATCCCAGCGTATGGTTAGTTACTACATCAGTACCATAATTATCTATCCACATGGTGCCTACAATGATATTATTTATACTAGAGATCACTTTATTCCACGTGTAATGGTTTCCCGAATCGAATACAAGATGTGTAACTCCCTCCGGTTTGATTTGCATGTAGTTACCACGATATTTCATCATGAGTCCGTAATCTTCCCAGCACTTCCACTTCGATCCTTCTACGTGAAGTGCTGATCTTGGTGGATGATGACTTACTTGTTCTGCAATAGCTCTCCAGCCTAGTTCTTCTTTTCTGTCTAAATCAAAGGTCTCATTGAGAAGAGGGTTGAATGGTTTTGTCATCCTATTCGATGTGCTAGCATAAACAGACGCAGAGAAAGCTGCCACATGTGCCATTTGCTCGCCTGGATCCGTAAAAGTCGCTGCTTTTTCAAGTGCTGAAGCATATTCAAAATCTTCGGTCAATCTTTGAAGAAATGATAGAGGTTCACAAAAATTGACAGGAACTGATATTCTAGTGATTTCCCGCGAGGCAAATTGCTTCACTATGGTCCATATATCAAATGGCATGTCCGGCCGAGCCGGAATCTGTTTTCTCCTGGACGAAATGGTGTCAATTAATAAAATACATTTAAGATAAAAAAACACAACTATACTACTTAACTTAGTACAAGTTTAATTACTTTGGCATTTCATGGGATTATTGATGTCCATTGCTTCTGTCGAAACAGCTCACGTCACTACTGTTAGGCGGTACATCTCGTAAAACAGCATCCATTCTGTATAAAATTATAATTTACTTCAATTGTTTTTAGTCCAACCAACAGCTCTTTTCAGCTTCATCGTAGCTAATCCTCCAATAAGCTAACTATACTTCATTCTGAGAATAATGTGAGGGCTGTAATTGGAATTTATAGCTTTGTTATGGAAGTTATAATTTAGTTATAAGAATGACCAAAAAAAAAAAAAAAAAGTTCAACGTTAGTTTTATGACATATGTTACGAATTTATCTTTACAAAGTATTGATTTCAGATGCATTGTTTCTAAAATAATAAAAATGCGATTTATTTTCTAACTTTATTTAGTTTTTTGGTAAGAGTACACCTAATTTACTCATTTTGTTGCCAGTAGTACAAACAGAAAGAAGTTTCCCTATGCATCAAATACATAGGAGGAAAGAGGTAGATTGAGACGATGGTGTTATTTTAAGCATATTTTAGTCTGATTATACAGTGTGTTGTTGATAACGTATTGAAGCACTTCATTATTGACGAAAATAACGAGGGTAGAAGGTGAGAAACCGTGAAAAATATATTAGTAAATAAAATGTCTGTTTCATAGAACCCATAGATTTAATATCTTTCCTTGATGGCATCAGTTTATCAATAATAAAATTAGAGCTGTTTTTCTATCTGTAGTCATTGTTAGTCAGAAAATGTATTATCCAAATACAAGGTTCTTAATTAAAGTTAACCTCTGAGTTAACCCATTAGTGCAAATATATTCACCTAAAATCATACGTAAAAAAATACAACGATTGCAACTATTTATTTGATTTAATTTATATTATTGATTTGCCATGATATTTAGTAGTATAGTATTTAACTGGCGTGGAGTTCATAAAAGGAGAAGAAACTAACGATAACCTAATTTCTTCCGATTTTAAAATTTAACTAAACGTTCCAAAGAATGTAAAATATATTACCATGTCGATTTTCTGAGCAAAATAGTATTGTATCATGTAAGATATCTAATACATAAATTTTAGACATTGTTTAAGAATTATTAATTCATTAAATAAATGTTATACATGTATTATGTTTACAGCAAGGTTTATAATTAATACTAAGGTTTTCGTGAAAACCATTAGTGATTCAGGAGGCGATGATCAGAAATAGTAGATATTACATTAATAAGGTTACCGACGCAAGGGATAATGCCGTTCATACTTACCGTAACGGAAGTAGAAACCAGAACCTAGGTTAGAGTAAGATACAGAAATGCAGCTAATACCAAATTATTTCAATATCCATTGGTTCTCCAGTTCAGTTTTCATATAATTTCTGAAAACTATGTGTTTTTTTCCTGGTTTCATTTTCAATTTTATCTTCAAAGTTTTTCTTGGGCAAGTATGTTACCATTAAAATGCTATCCAAAAAAGTAAATCTTAATAATTTTAAAAACAATAGAGTTCTACTGTCTCACAAAAGCTCTATTCTTTTTTTATGGTACTGATTACTACTCACATCCAGCTAAACGATCAATTGAAATTCAGTATCGCTAAGGTAACTAAAACAAATTTTGGACACACATTTAAAAAGAAAATCTATCCAAAGCAGGGATCTTATACCTGTTATCATATTAATAATCCTTAAATATGTGATAGGTCCGTCGTGTATGGTATATGGGTTTAGTATGGATTTGAAGGGCATTTATGCTGGTATACACATCGAATGTTTTCTTAAATTCTAATACATGTTTTCAAATTAAATGTTTCTTTGATCAACTATTCGATAGTAACAAAAGAGTGAAAATATGCTGATTTTTTTCGTAAAATTATTATATTATTTTTTTTAAACCCTGAAAGGTTATAAAAGGTTTAATCTTATTGAGTTTCCTGAAACGGCCTTCTTGCTTCTTTTTTTTTGGCTTAAAAGAATTCTAATCCGGAGTAATAAAAATGTAAATTTTTGAAGTTCTCCAATTATCTGAGAAGGGGATGGAAGTTCAAATCAGTTTTCCATTCTATAGAGGAACAACTTTAGGTTGTTTTTATTTTATTTTTGCATTTTTGCAGTTGGAAGGCATTGATTAGGCTAAACTTGCTCAGATTATTGAGGTTACACTTTTTCTATTAATAGTAATTTCAGCTTCAATATAGTTGCTATAATATGGCTCAATGTGATTTCAATTGTAAATTACCTGATGTTATAGGAGATTTCTATTAAATATATTGTTCGTTAGATATAAATAGAAATTTTATATCGAGAATATATTATCGGTTTATTTCTAGAAGTCGCAAACAATGAAATTGTTGATATAGGTTAACTTTCAAATTCGTTTTTGGAAATTTCAGCCTTATTTACTTGTACAAAAACATGGTAAGTTTATGAAAATGAAATACATTATTTTATCATATGTAATAACAGTAAATTCACAGTTTTTCAAAGGAAAAGTTCATCATAATTCTTAATTATTTGAGGTTGTGAAATTTCACTAATTGATTTTTGTTATAAACCTACAATACCTTCTTTTAGTTTATTATATTATTAGGGTTTGTCCTACGGTAGAATAATAAACATTGGATTGGACAGTAAATCTGATTTTTGAGTGGCTAACCAAATCATCATCTTTTATAACCGTTGGTTGCGAAACGTTACGTACTTAATAAGTTCTGAAACCAACGCTTTCATAGGGAGTCGTGGCACAGAGTTATCATTTTATCGTAAATACATTGTAATTGATAATTCCTGGATTATTCAGAGAGAAAAAAACCAGCACCCCTACAACTCATGTTTCTTGGTCAACGGTTGTACAAAGTGATTTGAACAAAATCATCCCAAGGCTTTCCTCTTAATCAATTATTTAATGAAAAATAACAACGTTATAATGGATGGGTGTGCTCCAAGGGTCTAGTGTTCATTACTTTGTAAGTAAGCACTGTTTCTTGGCCATCAGATGTGGAAGGGAAATGATTTGACCGATATCACGCCTGGTTTTCACCCTTAATTAACAATTTAGTTAACGATACCCACTTTATAGAGGCTGCATATACCCCGCAGAGGTTGTGAGCGGGGTGGCCGAATGGGCTAACGAGTGTGCACAGCACCGCCGTTGTCCGGCAACCTGACATGAGACAACGATGAAAAGTAGTTCCGAGTTCGCATACCGGTGCCGGGGGGGAGTCTTTTAAATCCCCTCGCACAGTCCCTGGCCCTGGAGAACCCCGTATGGCCTTAAAGGAGAGAAAGGGAAGGACCCACAAAAAAAAAAAGAAATAAATAAACAGAGGTCTCCCGATATGTCGTCCTTGGCTTTTCTCTGGGATACTGGGTCATTCTATATTCTATGTTACCGTTATCATAAGTCTGCCGTGGGTGATCCTCGGGACAACTCATAACGAACCACCATTTCGTTTCATAATGGCGACTGAAAAAGCAGGGTATCTATAGACTGTATAGTCAAAACGACTGTGACTATTTTAATCAAAATAGCTCAGATACTTCTTAAATATATTTAAATTTATTATGTAACATACTTAAGCTATTGGAAATATTATTTCAAGAATAATTTACCTGTCTATATTTTGAAAAAGAGAATGAAAATAAAAATCCTTAAGTAAGCCGTTATATTGAATTTCTTTTTCGTTACTTGGCATTTCCTTGTGAAGTATCAAAGATAGTAGTGTGACATGCCACACATATTTGATATATAACTGTTTGGAAATAATAGACCAGTTTTCAGTATAGTTTTCAATGTTTAACAGCGCGTCGAAAGTTTCCCGAAAGACTCCATTGACTTTTCACCGAGGGCTCATCCCAGAGAAGGACCGCAGTGTAGACCTCAAGCCAATTTCACTGAGGCAGCCACTTTCTATTCAGGCTAATAGCCCTAAGAGGCTGTAGTAAAGCCCCTGCTGGCTTCTGTAGCCGCTGAATACCATGCACTTTTTAAAAGCGACCCTCGTGATTAGCTGTATTTTGCTCTGAAATTGCTTGTCTGAACATTTTCTAAACGGTTTCTGTGAACCTGCAATATCGAATATTGTGTTGTTTTATGAGAGATACCTCTCAGAAGTAAAAACAGCCATGGTCAACATCAAATGACCCTATCCGCAGAGAGGAGATTGTCTTGACCGGACTGATAATATAGGCCCTACCAATCTAACTCATTCACATCTCAAAAGCAAAAAGCCACCTACAAATGCTGACATTGCAAATGTCGGTATTATATAATAATAAATGTAATTAATCGACTGTTCATGGGTGATTAATACAGATCATGGGTGATAAGCAGTCATTTTTAAGATTAGTCTTAGTGCCGAAGCGGAATGGTTGTAGCTTAGTGGGTGAGCACTCAGTCCCAGAACACTCACTTCCTGAGTTCGAATCTGGGTAATGACTATTGTTTTTTCATTAGCCGTGGATCGATCCTGGGGTCTCAGGAGCCTCCTGGGGTACACCCAGCCTCTATAAAGTGGGTACCTTTTTTTTTTTTTTTAAACTTTTATTATGATATTTACAACTGTATTGGTATGAATACATCAAGTAAATGTGTACAGAGGAATATTATCACATGAAACACGCTTGTTGAGAAACTACCCATTGGTAGCACTCTAATAATTTGTCTACATCAGAAGATCACGAGGCCATCTTCTTTTCAGACGCCTCGGAGGGTTATCAGGAATTGAAGAGGAAGCAAGGTTAGAAACAAGAGGATTCGGATGGTTATGTAGTTTATTATGTAAGGATAGGTATCTGGATTTGGCCAAATCGGAAACATGTGGAACATTGAGGTCTTTATAGATTATTTTATTTGTGACAAGGTAAGGAGCATTGAGAATTTTACGAAGGATTTCGGATTGTAAAGATTGGATACGAGAGGAATTTGATGGTTTAGTGGAGCTCCATAAGTCCAAATAGGTCTTATTATAGTCATGTATATGAGTCGTTTGTAATTCATTGGAAGTTTAGAGCGTTTGTCCAGTAAGTGTTGGAGTAAGCGGAAACGTCGAGCAGTTTCTTGTCGTTTCAGTCTTGTATGAGGATTCCAAGTGAGACGTTTGTCCAGCTGGAGTCCAAGGTATCGGATTTGTTCTACATGGATAAGTGGGGTGTTACTAAAGGATACTATAAGACAGCAAGTCATTGGTTTACGACGAAGGGTAAAGGTGATTTCATGGGATTTATTGGAATTTATTTTAATCCTCCAGTTTTGACACCATTCTTCAAGGTTTGTGATGTGTGATTGAAGAGTTTGGGATGCAATTGTAAATTTGAATAAATTATTCGTTATTTAAAGATATTTAAAAGTTTACGGAATTGGCTAAAATACCAAAACTAAAATCGGACGATTTGGAGGGAAGATATGGTCTATTGATAATTTTCACATGTTCTACTACAAACGTTCTTAGTTTTGGTTTTTGATTATTGGAAGTGTTACTGAAGTAATGCTATTTTATTTTTAATGACATTCCTAATTATGAAAAAGTAAATGTTTAGGCTAATAATTATCAGTCTGATGATGACCCACATCCTTGGGTTGATACGCCAGCACCAGTAAAAATCTTAAAAATGACTTCTTCTTGTCTATTTATCATCCTTGGTCTGTAGAACAGTCAACTAACTTCCTTAAATAATATATTATTTGCAGAGTCAACATTGGTTGGTGGCTGTTTGCTAATGGGACATGAATTGGTTAGATTGGCATGAACTATTGTCAGTCTTGCAACTTGCTGGCTAAAAGTCGTCCTCCCCCTCCCGCCACCCCTAATCCCTCCTCCCTTCGTTTCTAGTCGGTAGAATGATTATCAATTAAAATAATTCTGCAATCGATATAATAATTGAATTATCACCTGGTATCGTGATAATAAAATTATTAATAAGGTTATATAGACTAAAAATTACATGTGTGTGCTAAACATTGTCTAGTGTGTTATTATCCGCTAATTTTCATTTGTAATTATATTAACTATTTGGTGTGAGACTCACAGGAGGAATTGTTATAATAATAAAGTTTCATTATATAGAGCGGTAATTCCTAAGTTACCAGTGGAGAGCATTTGGACTGTTTTTAACTTGTACCCGATATTTCATAAAGAATGGTATAACGCAATTTTTTTTCATGGTGATATATATTTTTTTTAATTTAAGCCAATTTCAAATCAAAGCTGCCATGTGAGAAAGAATTTCATATTAATAATTACGAAAATTCACTTTAATTTCTGAAAAATAAGTCGTATATCTATTCCATAAAATAACCTTATTTTTATATAGCTGATATAAGGTGTGATATCTCTGGTTTTCATCGATGTGTTTTTATTTCTAACCTCAACACACCTGAATGGCGAAATGATGTGTAAGGTATTTTTACTTGGTTTAATCCTTGATTTGTGCCTTACCAAAATATTTACATAATACTGATCTTCTTATTTTATACTGATTAACAGAGTAATTACCAATTGGTTTTTAATGATAGTTTTCCCTTTTTCGCCTCTCTAGCATGCACTTGCATTACGATAAAATTTTGAATAATAGCTCATTACAAACAGGTTTGAATGTTGAACATTTCTCTCGCTTACAGTATGCAGTTCTGATTTTTACTTTCTGAGATATTTTAATCCATATATTCAATAAAACTGGTTATTAGTTGGTTTTCCACAATATTTTTCCCTTTTCGTGTCTCTAACAAGGTGTCGCGCACAGATAAAATTTTGAATAATAGCTCATTACAAGGAGGATGAAATGCTGACCATTTCTCTTGCAAATAGTATGCCGGTATTATTTTTAAAAGATTTTTTATCAGATATTTTACTCTACATATTCAATGAAACTCGTAATCAATTGGTTTTCAACAATATTTTTCCCATTTTCGCCTCTCTAACACGGAGTCGCATTAAGATGCAATTTTGAATAATAGCTCATTACAACGACGATTAAATGCTAAACGTTTACCACGCTTACTGCTTGTTGGTCCGATTTTTAGTTTGAGATATTTTAATCCATATCTTCAATTACACTCGCTTCTTTTTTCCTTTTTTGCCTCTTCTGGTAAGGATACAATTTTGAGTAATATCTAATAACAAATAAGATAAAATTGTTATTGCGAATTGTACGCAGGCCCGATTTTTAGCTTCTGAGATATTTTAATCCAAATACAATTCAATTTAAATATTTACTGGTGTGCTTAAAGTAGAAAATATCCCATAATTCCAATGATGGCATTGAAAAGATTCACTCCTAAACAGATATTCCTATTACAGCATTGTGGAAGGAAGAGTTGGAATGGGCCGAAAGTTCACACAATGTTCGGAATTAGTGAAAGCGAACAGATAATTATTTTTGCAAACATTCTCAGCTACTCGCACGCGGTTTCCTCTCCGCTAGTCCCGTTTGTAGCTTGTGTACCGTTCCTAGAGAAATCGCCAATTATGCCTTAAAATCGAAATGGAAATTGTATAATTTGCTGCTATTAGAGATTCTGGTTCTGGGTTGGCAAAGTGTGCCGCGTCCTAAATTTTAATTTTTTTTAGCTTATATTAAATACTAGTAGGCCCGTGCGAAAAATTCACACAGCATATTGTTTTCAAATGCCTAATTATTAAGAAAAAAAAATAATTCCACATATCTAAAGACAAGAAAAACAATTGTTACTTTATCGATAAATATAAACGACAAAGGAAACAGAAATTATATTAAACTTCATTAATGTTTGGAACCAACATGTTCACAAATTTCAATAAGCTGTATCTTTGCTAAAAATTGTCCGATTTCGATGATTTTTTTTCCTTTTGTAGGGAAATTAGTTATCTTTTATATAATCATAAGCATAACCAAGGGAAAAGTGTGTAATTTTTTAGTTATTCGCAAATAAAGTGTGTTTTCTTTCATAAATTGTTTGCCTGAATTTTTGGGTTGATTGGACTATTTTGCCCGCCTGAAGGAGAAGGAAGCCTTCGAAATTGTTGGCTCAATCTTGAGATTTGGTGAAGAATTAACGATGATATGGCTTGCCACCCCATTCATGGTATTTGAGCCTGATAGGAGCTTATATTTGGTATAAAACCGTTTTCGAGCCTTACTGTAGTAATATATGTGTGGATATGTCGATATATATATATATATATTAAAAGGTTACAAAATTGAGTAATGCTTTTATATTTAAAATATTCGAGGTAGTCGTTTTTTAGAAATAAATTCTTTAGTAATTTACTTACGGATTTAAATGTTTCATTACATACGTACAGCTAGTAATAATTTATGAAGGATGTCACTGTATACAGAGAAGCCGAGTAAATTGAAACTGTAACCGAAGATAATGGTCATGACAGCCGGATTTAACCGCACCTGACACTGTGGATCAACTGTACGGGCAAATCAATCAGCAAAATTAAGCTGTACCTTCTTGATGGCCAACTGAAGCTGCTATTGGATGTGAATAACAATGGATCTGTAATTATAATTACGTATATATGTAACAGTATATATATATATATATATATATATATATATATATATATATATATATATATTATATATATATATATATATATATATATATATATATATATATATAAAATAAAAACGTCTTCGTTTAATAATCTTCAAGTACGTATTAATTAATTAGGCGTTTGTATGGGAAAAACTTGAGATTTGAGTAAAATTGTATAAAAAAACTGATGATATTTTTTATCCTGTTAGGTAAAAGTACCCCTGTTTTCAGCTAAAGTGACTACAATTCAATTTTGTAAACCTTTCTTTTTCTGTTTTTCTATGATCTAGGATGTATTATACTAAACCAAATTGCCTAATAACACATTTTGTTTATAAAATACTGATTTTCCAAATATTTTTCGAGTAAATTTTTTATAAACTGAGGTTTTTCACCCAGATGTCTTTTATTGAAATCGATATGTATTATTGAGTGACGAAATAAAAGTTTTAGTCCTAAAATTTATCTTTAAGATAAAAAACTATTTTAATGAAAACGTTAATATTATTATCCATAATAATATAAAATGCGTGTTTAGGCAATTGATTTTTTTTTTTAACATACATCCTAGATCATAGAAAAGCAATAATAAAAGCTTTGAAAAAATTAATTGTAGTAATTTTTGCTCAAAACAGAGATACTTTTACTTGACAAGATAAAAACTACCTTTTTTTTAAAAAAAACTTGAGCTGAATCTCAATTTTTTTTCTAATAAACCCTAACTTAATTAATACAAACTTAAAGCTAATTAAACTGAGAAGGTTTTGCAAAAGTGGGCTAACAATATTATTGTTGGTTGATGACAAAAAAATATGGCTAATAATTTATAATTTTTCTAAAAATATAACTTTTCTTAGTTTATCAGCTCAAAAGTCCTCTCTAAATAGCTTTAACCATAATAAACTTTTTATTCTCTGGATTATATATTGAAAACAATTGGACACATGCTATGATATATATTTAAAAAACAATAATGTTAAGAAACATAGCTAAAAAAAAACAATAATTTGTTTTGCCTTCATTTTGTCCGAATTTTCAAGTTGGTACATGCCAATCGATATATTTTTTCTTATAGAAAAAAAATTGTCTATGGTATTAAATGATTTAAACGATATAATAAGTTACTAAAACCAAAAGACGATTTAGGTAAAGTATATTTTTAATAGGAAACGTACGTTAGATTCGGTGTTTAGTGTCATATAAAACTCCTGAGTACGATTTGTTATAGACTTTGGGAAGCTAAATTATTGCTCTTCTACTCTATATCAATAGGTTTTATATTTCATTTCTTAACAAGCTAGAAATATTCAAATGTTTCTTAGCTGTTATATTCCTGTGAAATATTATGTATTCCTAGGTGGTCTGGATACATGCTGTTCATGGCTTTAAGGGCTCTCAAAGAATCTGATACCACAACCACATTTGCAACTGGCGAATTTATCACATGTCGTAGAGACATCGCGATAGCATTAATCTCAGCGGTATATATGGAACAAAGTGGATGTAGTTTACATTTATAGGTAGTATCAGGTGTGACGAAGGCGGTTGTTGTCGATGTGCCTCATTTAGAACTGTCGGTGAATATTAGTAACTGTTCTGGTAGAGAGCTAATTGTTTAAGAATAGTTCTTTATATTTTGCAGGTTCCGCATTTTCTTTATTAAATTTTGAAAGCAGTAGATTTAATTTAGGATGCATTAAAGTCAAAGGGGGCATGTCATCTTGAATTATATTCAAGTTAATCGGTTTCAACTTACATATTGCAAACGTCATCCTATCTGCTAATGGTAGTGTTGCATTATTCTTTTGTTGGAATTTTGTCGAATATTTATATTCAAAAATGTATTTGTAGACAGGGTGTGTGGTTTGTGGGTATGATTTCGTTATGTAATTTATTTGTAATTTTTATCTTCTGAAAGAGAGTAGGCCTGAATCGACACCGAGACTAGGAGTTGGACTTGTCCTAAAAGCTCCCGTAGCGAGGCGTATTCCTGAGTTAAGCTTAGCAAGACTACTTTTTCGAACGGAGCTGTAAACAAAGTTGCCATAATCTACCTTAAACCCTATTTATGCTTCATACACTTTAGGAATTGTAAAAAAAAAAGTATTTTATTCCTGTCTGCACCCCACTTTTTTCCACTTACTACTGTTAATATTTTGAGTTTTCTAGCGCATTTTTCATTCAGTAACTTAATGTGATGTTATCAAGGCAGACACCTATCTAATAACGATCCCAAAAATCTACAGGTACCAGCGTATTGTAATTTAACGTCTCCTAGATAAAGATCTGGCGGTTGAAGTGTTTTTCGTTTTCTGCTGAAGTGTACAAATTTTGTTTAGGAGAATTGCAATCCTGACGACTACTGATGCTACATAGTGCATCTTGGAGTTTGTTTTTAAAAGAGGAGATCTTTTCCTCTGTATGGTATTGCTGAATCGTCGACAAAGAGCATAATCGTTATTTTCTTTTTTTTTTCTTCCCTACCTCGCCTTTTTAGGCTATATGGCGGTAATCCTGGGCCAGGAGGTGAGGACGGAGAATTTAAAAGACCCCTAGGCACCAGGACGTGAACTCGTAATTTTTATTGTTACACACTAAAAGTGTATATCCGTATACATTGTTCACTGTAGTTGTTCTTAGGGGACTAAAAGTCCTATAATAAAATTACTTTTCTCCTTCTTCTTCTTATATTATTTACTCTATTATATATTTATATATATATACGGCTATACAATTTTCTCTCTTACTTTCTTTTTTTTCCCAAACCCCCTTTTAACCTCCCTCCTCCCAAAAGTTAAATTCTGGATCACCTACTAGAAAGTAATAAAAATACAATGTTCTGAACACCCGATTTTCATTCGGAAAAATAATTACTTCAACGCAATATTATCTTTCCGATGTGACTATTTGGCCAATCGAAAGAGGTAATGATAAGTTTTGTAATTGTCATAAATACCTTTGAATTTCCTGTTTTAAATTTTTTCAGGTTTAAGAAGAATGAAAGGATTTTTTTTTTAATTATCAAAAAGCGGGT